AAGATCTCTCGAAAATTGTAATAAAAGTTTGAATTTCGCGCCTAATCTGATTTTTTTGGGATTTTTTGAGATTTTTTCAAATTCCCGCTTAAAGAAGACAATCTCTAATCATCGTTTATCTTTTTCTTTCACTAATTACCCAAACAATTCATCTCTATATTTTCTTCCGTTTTCTCCTCTCCTTGTTCTTCTTCCTTTTGGGGGTAATTCCCGTTATTCTAATCACTCTCACTTCTCTGGGCCCCCCTCTCTCTCTCTCTCTTTTCTAATCAACTATTCTTTTTATTGACTATATACAAAAATTCAAAAATGACATCAATTTTGAGAGAGGCGCCCCCGGAAACAATTCAACCTCTATCGTTTAGTGTCTCCTAACTATTTTCTTATCACCTTTTTTCTTTCTTTTTTTTTTGACTCACCCCCCCCCCCCCCCCTCTTAGTTTCGAGAAACCGAAATTATTTTAGGATTATAATAGGAAATTGGTTTTTTGCTAATTTTGAAAAGCAGATGGAATTTCATGCAATTTGCAACGTATGTATTAAAAAGATCACAAATTTACAATTTTTTTGGTCAAAAAATCAAATTTCTAGCTCTATTTTGAAGCGAGTTACAAGCATTTTAACAATTTTGAGAACGCTCTCAGGCAGAGGTGATAAGCGACTAGCGCGACAGTGGGGGAGCGGCGCCTGTCGCGCCCGCCGCTCTCCACCTCTGGCTGAGTGTGCCTTCAGGACAAATTTGGGGCTATAACTCGCGTCAAAATAGAGCTAGGGAATCCATTTTTACAGCATTATGCATAGAAAATTGTGCTCTATACGATGCTATAAGTTTCTAAAAGTAACAATTGAAATGTGCTGTGAAAAAAATACTATTGTTCAAAGAAGGGGAGCTAGACTTCAAGCAGCCATATCTCACTTCAAAATCAAGCTAGCTCCGTGGTTTTTGGCCTGAATTGTGTAAAAATTGAAGCTAAATCAGATTCTTTAAACATTCCAACTTGCTTCACTGCTTTTGACCTACCTGACCATAATATGACCCCCCCCCCCCTCATGTTCCGTTTAGTATACAAATAGAGACAATTGTCATTTCATTTTCTCTATATTTCCTTCCGTTTTCCTTCCCTTATTAGCGTAACAAGAAGAGTGTTGTAATGTTTGCTTTTTCATGATGAACACATTTTCCTCCTCCCAAGAATATTCGTTCAATTCATTTTCATTGTCCTCCGTATTTCCCTAATCTTTTTGAGAACATTTTTGATATAATTATGCAGAGATATTGTTTTTTTTAATAATATTTTATGATTTTTCTAACTTTCCTTATCATTTTGGTGGTTGGATCACTTCTCTAGGTTGATTTTGAACCAAGTTATGACTGCTGTAAACATTCTAATAGAGAGGCACCCAATACTTGTACTTTAAACCTTTATATCTCATTTTCTGTGAAAGATATCAAAAAGTTATTAACTAATAAAATGTAGCTAACATTATGGCAAACATTTTATCAGTAAACAAATTTTTGATATCTCTGATAAGAACTGAGATAATTGAGCTCAAAGTGAATGCACTTAGATTAGAGCGTTTCATGTTTTACTGAGGCTTAGGATTTTCTAAGCCTCAGTAAAAAACAATTCATGAAAAAAAACTATAAAAACTAGGTCATGTTTTTCTGATTAATTTGGTATCAAAATTAATATTCTAGCTAAATTTTGAAGGAGTTTACAATTCATTGAACTTGTAGACTTTCAAAAACAAAGTGATATCATTATACCTCTCCTTTTTATCAGTTATTTGTTTTTCAATTTGTACAACTTGGTGTACAAAATGTTTAGCACAACTATCAGACCATTTTCGTACAATTTCGAATGGTCTAGCTCAATCTTGAAGCGAGTTATGACTTTTCAAAGATTATTGATCACAAATTAGCTGTTTTCTGGACTTTATTGTTGTTCAAAACAATATTTTTGTTAGTTTTTTGAGTTAAAAATTTGTCGTTTTTATTTTGAAACAAAAATCAAAGCTCTAGCTCAATTTTGAAGCGAGTTATAGCTCAGGGCGCGGTCACACAGAGGTGGTCAGCGGCGCCCGCGACAGCAGTATCTGCTCCTGTCGCGCCCGCCGCTCCCTCACCTCCATGGGAGCGCGCCTTCCAAGAAACTAATTTAAACTATAACTCGCTTCAAAATCAAGTTCAAAAAAATTTTTTTTCCAAAATTCTGTTTTTAAGTTTGATCCCTTATTTTCTAAATGAACACTTCCCTCTTCTTCTAATGATATGATTTCTAACTGTACATTCCCATCTCTCTCTTATATGTCTATATTTATTTTCGTGGTAAGACCGTGGGTTCTTTTTTCGCCTTGTTCGTCTTCATCAGTCACAAGACAACCAACAGTTGATATGGGGAACCAATGGATGGCTGGGAAACGAAGAAAAAATTTTTCGATGGAGAGAAAAAAAACCAGTTTTAGAGAGAGCGAGGAGAGGGTGATCATCATACATAAACACCTTATCAATTACACTCTTCTTCTTCTTCTTTTCCGCTATCACCTCCCCCAACCCCAATCAATTTTTTTGGAGTTTTCTTGTGTGTGAGTCATAGGTTACTTGTATAGTTAAAAAGCTCTTTGAATTTCCTAAAACTTGCACTAGAAATCAGCTCTCTAGCTCTATTTCGAAGCGAGTTATAGCCAAATTTGTTCGCAGGGCGTGTTCAGAGAGAGGTGATGAGCGGCTGGCGCGAAGTAGGGAAGCGGGACCTGTCGCGCGCGCCGCTACTCGCCTCTAGTTGAGCGTACCCTCTCCGGAAACAAATTAAGTCATAACTCGCTTTAAAATTGAGCTAGGGAGACGATTTTTGTACCAAAGTTATCAGGAAAATCTATCTGGTTAATGTTTCCCGAATGTTGTCACAAAGTTACAGAAACCCCCTAATTGTGAAATAAATCTTAAAACCCAAGTTGAAAGAGTGTAGAAAAATTTGGAGAGTGCTAGAGAAACAAAAATCAAGTAACTTTGATAAGGGATGATTCATTTAACATTTCACAACATGTTTTTTTTTGGAAATTTCGATAACATTTTTTTCGAATTTGGACCAATTTTAATAAAATCATAATTCACAGAAAATTCCAGTTAATTTGGTCCAAAAATCAAATTTCTAGGTCAATTTTGAAGCAAGTTATGGGCATTTTCAATTTTACAGAGGCTTAGGATTTTTTACTGAGGCTTGGGAATTTTTTACTGAGGCTTAGAGAATTTTTACTGAGGCTTAGGATTTTTTACTGAGGCTTAGGATTTTTACTGAGGCTTAGAGAATTTTTACTGAGGCTTAGGATTTTTTACTGAGGCTTAGGATTTTTTACTGAAGCTTAGGATTTTTTACTGAGGCTTATGGTTTTTTACTGAGGCTTAGAAATCCTAAGCCTCAGTAAAACTTGAATTGGCCATAACTCGGCTCAAAATTGAGTTAGAAAAGTGATTCAACCACCAAAATGATCAGAAAAATTGGCTAAATTTTTTGTTCTAAAAGTCAAAAAAAAATTTTATTCAAAATATAAAATTTAATACGAAATATTTGAAAAAAGCCTTAATTAACCTAATTGTTTGTAAAAAAGAGCATATATACAAAAAGTGTACCGGATGAAAGGGAAAGAAAAATGTGAGTCATGAGATTGTGGGGTTCTTTTAATACAATACACCTATCGGGGCATCATCAAATAAGTTTTTTTTTGGGGGTGTAAATATGAATCAAGAGAAATCAAAAGGAATGTATCCGGGAGAGACACCGCTGTTTTGATAATGAAATCTTTTTTTGGAGAAACTTAATTGTAATTGTTGTGTAAAAAGAGTTTTTGGTCAAAAAAAAAAGAGCAGCTAGACTTAGATCAGCCATATCTCGCTTCAAAATGAAGCTAGCTCGGAGGATTTTGGGCTGAACTGTAGAGCTTCTCTGTGTCTCTCTCTCCTTTCTAATCTCAAGAAGATTTCCTTCGAAAAACCATCATTTTCATATTTTTCTCCTCCGGGAAATTCTTCTCCTTCTTCTTCGTTTTCATCCTTTCCGTCGTCGTGGTCATCAACAAATCACCAATTCATTTCCGCTTAACCTGTCCTCCTCCCAACTGAATCACTACTTTCTCTTTATTTCTCTGCGTCTCTCACCGGATCCATACTCTCTCGCTCTCTCTCTTTGAGATAATCGATTTGTTTTATCACTTCTTGATCACACGACTACATCAGAAATGGATGGTCTTCTGAAGACATTTTGTTGATTTTTGAAGAAATTTTCAAAAAAAAAAATTGAAAAATTTTTTTTGGAAATTTTAGGATCCCACAACTTTTGGGATAGTAGTTGCAACATACGATTAATTGTGAATCTTAGCTATTTTCTATTGAAATTTTATGTATTCTGATAGGGCTTGAGGTTTTACACATTTTCATCCAAAAACCACTAAGCTAGCTCAACTTTGAAGCGAGATATGGCTCTTTGAAGTCTAGCTGACCCGATTCTGAACAATACCATTTTTTCACCACGATTTTTAAAAACTTATATCTAAAAATTAATAGCTTTTTATAGAGCCTATTTTTCCAAGTATTTTGGAACAAAAACCAAGATTCTAGCATAATTTTGAAGCGAGTTATAGCTAAGGGCACGCTCAGACGGAGGCGATCAGCGGTGGGCGCGACAGTTGGGGAGCGGCGCCCGCGACAGTTACCTCTTTCTGAGTGCGTACTCCCTGAAACTAAATTAGCTATAACTCGCGTTAAAATTGAGCTAGGAACTTAATTTTTTTACCAAAACTATTCAAATTTTAAGCGTTTTATTCGAATTAGTTTTTTTTTTCAAAAATTTAGGATCCCAAAATTTTTTAAGATCTCTAACTTTCATTTTTCTCAACTTTCCTTGTTTTTTGAAATTTTGACTTTTTTGGTATCATTCGAATCCTTGAAATCTCAAAATTTCTAATTTCTAATTTTCAAATAACTAATTCTTTCAGAAAAAGAGATGAACGTCTCGGAACTGATGCACCACTCCTCTTCTCCCCCCTCACAATCATCCATTGACTCGACAATCACTTTATGGCAATTCCTTCTCGAACTATTACAACAGGAACAAAATGGAGACATCATTGAGTGGACACGTGGCGCTGATGGTGAATTTCGGCTGATTGATGCAGAAGCAGTGGCCAGGAAGTGGGGACAACGAAAGGCGAAACCGCATATGAACTACGATAAGCTGTCGAGAGCGTTGAGATATTATTATGAGAAGAACATTATTAAAAAGGTAAGCCTTACTTTAAAATTCTAAACATTTTGGTTAAAAAATCAAGTTTCTAGCTTAATTTTAAAGCGAGTTACGGTACTGAACATGTTTTTCAAGCTAGTATCTGCAAAACCTGAAAATTCTGTGAATTTAAGCGTTTTTGATCTCAGAACTATAATAATCCAATCAGCCTATAAATTCTGAGCATATTGGTCCAAAAACCAAATTTCTAGATTGATGTTGAAGCGAGTTACAGTCAAGGGCACGGCCATCCAGAGGTGATAGGCGTCGGGCGCGACAGGCGCCGCTCCCCTCCTGTCGCGCCCGCCGCTGATCTCCTCCAGCTGAGCGCGCCCTTCAAAAAACAAATTCAGTCATAACTCGCGTTAAAATTGAGCTAGAGACTTGATTTTTGCACCAAAACGTTACAAATTCTGAGATTTATTTGAATTAAAAAAAAACATACAAGAAAAAAAAGTTCTAAAATCAATTTTTTTCGAATTTCAGGTAATCGGAAAGAAGTTTGTCTATCGATTTGTAACTACTGACACCCAATCAATGTCAAACGCCCCATCCGATTACTGTACTCCTCCAAATATGAGCATGTGTTTTGTGAAGGAGGAGCAAGATATTAAACACGAGATTCCAACATGCCTCCCTGCTCCAGTTCCTCCTCCTCCTCCAACGAATATCTCCAGAAATACAGATTTCTCTGCGTTAAGTCTTTTGGGAACTGATGTGCCATCAACTGCACATAGTGTGAGCACACCAAGTCCCACAGATAGGTTAGTATTGATTTTATTTTATGATAAAATATATGAAACGAAAGAACTTCAAATTTCCTACATTTTCCATTAAAAACCAAATTTCTGACTCAATTTTGAAGCGAGTTATAGCCGAAGACGCAATCAGCCAGAGGTGATAAGCGGCGGGCGCGACAGCAAGATCTGCTCCTGTCGCGCGCGCCACCTATCACCTCTGGCTGGCCGCGCCTTCCGAGCAAATCGGCTCATAACTCAGCTTAAAATTGAGCTAGAAAGCTGGTTTTTGCACCAAAATGATCAGCAAATTATTTTTCATCATTTCCAATTGTTTTCTTTTCAGTGTCTGCTCCCCGTCCAGCAGTATCACCTCTTCAGCCACTCCATCCACATCATCGCCAGTCGATGAGTCCCGTCAATCCAGAAAGCGTTCGTTGTCTCCGAATCTTGCCACGTCATCAGTGTCTTCTTCTGCCACGTCATCATCATTCACAAGCACCACATCATCAATGACAACGTTGTCTGCACCACCTCCATCGAAAAAAGGAATGAAGCCGAATCCTCTGAATCTAACTGGGACGACAGATTTCACACTGGCTCCGCCCCTTTCTCCATTTTTCATGCTTCAAAATCATCAGAACTCTCCATTACTGCAACAACAAATTGGGCAGTTGTATGCTTTCACTGCAGCAAATGCGCTGGCATCTGCTGGCTTATATGGACCCCAAATTTCACCACTTTTGACATCACAAAGTCCGTTTAGAAGTCCACTAACGACTCCGAAGAATTTGGGACTGGGAGATATTGGAAAAACACCGGGTACTGGTGATAGTCAGGTTGGTTTTTTTTTGTTTATAAAAATAGAACAATGTTTTTTAAACATTTTGGTACAAAAATCAAGTTTCTAGCTTCATTTTGAAGCGAGTTACAGCCCTTTTTGTTCTGGAGGCGCGGCAAGCTAGAGGTGTTGAGCGGCTGGTGCGACAAGTGGGGCGCGGCGCCTGTCGCACACGCCGCCTATCACCTCTCGCTGAGCGTGCCCTTAGCCATAACTCGCTTCAAAATTGAGCTAGAAACTTGGTTTTTTTACCAAAATATTTAGAATTTAATAAAAAATAGTTTTCTAATCAAAAATCAAAGTTTTAACAAATTCCTTCCTTTCTTTTCCTATTTTCCTACAGTTACTTCAGAACTCTTGTAACTTCCTTCAAAATTAAGCTAGAGATATGAAAATAGTACCGAAATGTTCACCAAATCATGTTTTTTTCATTTTTTTAAAAATCCAAATCAATAGAAAATTCCTAAAACTTTGAAATCCCCAAAAAGGTTGGTGCACCAAAAATACTTCAAAACTCTATACCTTTCTTCAAAATCTTCCAATTTTGCTGGTTTTTGGCTTTAAATAATCACAAATTATCACTTATTCATTTTATTATATTTTCAGGTTTTCCAATTCCCGCCAGTGTCCGCATTCCAGTCAAACAACACCCTACTGAACACATTCTCCAATTTGATCAGTCCAATCGCCCCATTTATGATGCCCTCTCAGTCGAGCACTTCGTTTAAGTTTCCATCAACATCGGATTCCCTTAAAACACCGACTGTACCTATAAAAATGCCCACTTTATAAGTTTTGAACTATTTTTGAGAAACATTTTTTTTGAAAAATTTTTTTTGAAATTCAAAATTTTCAAATTTCCCGCCAAAATATTTGTTTTTTAACTTTTTTTTTATTCCTATTCTTCTTCCCCTATGATCTCTGCCCCGATGAGAGAGCGAGTCTTGTAAACCTCAACCCTCTGCCTTTAATTTGTTTCCGCCGTCCCCTTTTTTTAAGCCCCGCCCCTTTTTTTCTAGCAACTCAATTATTATTTGTATAGTTTTGACATACTTTTTTGTGCCTTTTTCCATGTCCCAAAATATTTTTTAATTGCATTTTTTCTATATTTTTCGGTTTCTATTAGTGCATTTTATTTGTTTTTTGCCTATTTTTGGAATTTTTAATGGAAATTATACTTTTTAATCGATTAAAAACTCAAAAAACGGAAAAAAAACTTTGATCTACCCAAAAAAAAACTATCTTCAAACTTCCCTCCAATTTGTTTCCGGCAAGTCCGTAAACACCGGGCCTCACACGAAGATGTATCAAATCTTACGACACTTTCTTTAAATTGTTTTTTTTCTGTTTTTCATTGTTTTTTTTCTCCGTTTTTTCGGTTTTTTCTGAAATTTCCGAGTTTTTCCAACTTTCAGAGGCTAGAATGGACGAGGATAGTTTGCTTCTAGACGATTCTGACTCTCCGGAAGACGTACAAAAGCGAGTTTTCTCTCTCGTGAAGTTATTGGCGGCGGGAGAGGTTCCAGAGCTCACGGAGAGGGATGTGGAAAATGTAGAGGAAACAGTGGGGGATTTAGGCCAATTTGAAGGGGAAAAATCGATTTTTTCAGCTCAAAAAAGCACAAAATGGTTTAAAACTCGCGAAAAAGTCGATGCTAACCGATGAGGACATTTTAAAAGTCGAAAATCTCAATTTCTTGTCTCCAAACCCAAATCTAGTGAAATCGAATGTGAAACGTTCGAAGGTACCGTCATTTTCATCGCTAGATGAGCTGGATTACGAGGAATCTTTGGACGGATTGGAGATTGATGAAGACGACGACGATCTTGCCAGTAAAAAGGAGAAAGGAGAGCCACAAAGTTTCCTAGAATCGCCAGAAGCACCGTCACCTCATAAGAAACGCAAAAATACTGGCTTAAAAATCATGGAAAATCGTTTGGAGAGAAAAAGTGTGAAGGCCGATGAATCCGACGTCATTTTCCTATCATCGGACTCAGATTCTTCTGACGATATGCCTCAAAAACGACAAAAGATAGTTTTTGATACGAGAAAGAGCGTGAAACAGGAGGAATTGGGCAGTGAGGGAGACGATGAGGATGACGAGTTGGGCAATGTGTCAAGAGCGAATTTTTTGAAGAAATTGACAAAGGATGAGCCGTGTAAGCTCTTTTTATAGGAAATTTGGTTGTATTTTGTGTAGAAAATCATGTAGATTCACAAAAAAACCTCAATTTAGAGTCAAAAGTTGTCTAAAATCGGCATTTTTGGTCTTTTTTTCAGGCCGATTTCAGCCTAGAAACTTTCATTTTTAATCTAACTAAAAATCGCGCGGTTTTGAATTATTCAGGTTTTTGTTGATTTTTCGGGGGCTCAAATCGGCTTTAAAAAAGCTAAAACTGCCGATTCTAATCTTTTTTAAACGAAAAAAAACCGGATTTTTAGACACTTTTCGACTCTAAATAATATATTTTCCGAATTTTTTGCTCATTTCTATTCATTTCTTCAAGTTTTTGAGCTATTTTTCATCCCAACATAAAAATCGAGCCATTTCAAATCATCCCAAATTATGAATTCTGTAAAAGTTACAGCGAAAATGTTCTCCAGAGGCAATTTTAGTTTTACTTAAAAACCCTAAGCCTCAGTAAAAATTCCTAAGCCGCAGTAAAATCCTAAGCCTCAGTAAACATTACTAAGCCTCAGTACAAATTCCTAAGCCTCAGTAAAAATCCTAAGCCTCAGTAAAAAATCCTAAGCCTCAGTGAAAAAATTCCTAAGCCTCAGTAAAATTCTTAGGCCTCAGTAAAAATTCCTAAGCCTCAGTAAAAAATTCTAAGCCTCAGTAAAAAAATTCCTAAGCCTTAGTAAAATTCTTAGGCCTCAGTAAATCTAAAAACGTTCATAACTTTTTTTAAAATTGACATGGAAACTTGATTTTTGAGCCGAAATTTTAGAAAATCCAATTTCTTCCAGACCTCAAACTGCGTGCATCCCAATTAAAGTGCACCTCCTCAAAAGTCGGCCTCACCTACCCGCTCGGCGTCACTTATGACAGTCCCACGGAGACGTGGTTCGTCACAAACATACCGCATCATTTGGAAGGGGACGGTGTGCCGGGTGAATCGAAAGTGCTGAAAATCTACACTGGAAGCGATAGAAGACGTTCGAAATACACTGATATAGAGGACTCGCTGCTCGACAACCCATCAGCGATCACCATCTATAAGGACGGTTCAATGGTAGCTGTGCTGTGCTCCGATGTGTATAACAGACCCTCGATTCGTCTTATAAACTTCCGAAGAGACGATAGCGTCAGCAATTTCTGCTCCTGGAAGTACACAGAGCTCGATTTCAACTACCCGGCTCGCGGGTTGGCTCGATCCAAAGGAGGCAATTTGATCACGACGGATCGCCCCGCCCAGCAGCATCCCAGATTGCGCATTTTCTCCAAGAAATCCGGAACAGCTGAGCAATTGACGTTCCAGCTGAAGAATGCAGACATACCATGCTTTATCGCGGCTTCTGATGACACTGTAGTTATCACTGATTTGGGAGCCGTACAGACTGTGATGCTCATTCGGCTCGATGATTCGGATTGGAAGAGAACCAAGTATGAGATGCTCAGAATCATATCTACGGTAGATTTAAATTGAGAAAAATTAATTTAAAAAAAAAGAATTTCCAGGCCGGAGTCAGCTGCTCCGCTGAGGAGATGCTCAATAACAGTACTTCCTGTACGTGTCCGGCGCTCAAATCGACAGAAATAAGAATATTCTGATTGCCGACGCCAAGAATCACCACTTCAAACTGTTCAGCCCGGGAATGAAGTTTGTGAGTCGAGTCTCTACGGACTTCCCGGTTCCATACGTCTCGTCGTTTCATGTCAATCAGCATGGAGAGGTTTGTTTTGAATATTAGCTATAAATCAGCGATTCGCCTTGAAAAAGCACTTTTTCGGGTCATTTTTAGCCAATTTCAGTCATTTTAGCATATTTCAACTTATTTTCAGCCATTTTAAACCTATTTTTGACAGTTTTCCAAACGATTTTGGATCTTTTTTCTGGAAATTTCTGGAAGAAAAAACTCTCAAAAATGATCGATTTTCAGCAATTTTTTCTCCGATTTTTGGCAAAATTTTTAGACCTTTTTCAGGGTTTTCAGCTATTTTTGAAGATTCTTTTTCGATTTTTCCGGAATTTTTTGTCTGAAATTTATCTGAAATTCGCGAAGATTGCTGTAGATTACTGT